CTGGCAAAGATGTAGGGATAAGGGTCAACCCCTGGTAGGTTCAGTGAATGGCCACACACACAAGTGTATATGGGTAGCACAAATTGGACTTGACAGGTTTAGGGTAGGGGAAGAAGACACTGAGTGGAGTATGTAGGGAAGTGTGGCACAGATCTGGAATTGGGAGAGGGGATGAATATGATCAAAATACATTGTATAAAATTCTTAAATAACTCATAAGTAATTTTAAAGAATAAAAGACACATGACTGTAACTGACAGTCAGTTTCAAACTCCAAAACTCTTTCCACTCTATTCCTTCATTTTAAGGGTCAAAAAAATAGATTCTTGGGAAAAAGAGGGAAAAGGTCACAGTCCAAGAGTCCGAGGTCAGAAGGTAATTGCAGGTTATTACAAAAAGTAGGCACGAAACTAGGATAAAGTTCAGTGAGAGGGGAGTGTAAATTGTTACATTCCCCTTTGCTCTAGTTTTTGACGGAGCACAGGATTTAGCAGAGCAAGAAAGAACCTTTGGCCCTGTGGGTTGAGAAATGAATCCCTTGTTATTAGGAAAGGCAGAGGAGAAAACTTTTAGGAGCATGTCAGCAGTTTCTGGGGAGGCAGTCTTGTAGTCCAATAGGGAAGGTGATGAATACTACCATGGACTCTCAATGATTGATTTCCTTTTTACAATGTCACTTTGCCTCTCTGTTATCTGTTTCTCATCATTGAAATAAGGGCAAGGGTACAACTAACCATACTTATTGAACTAGACTGGGTTCTTTTAAGTCAATGTTAGTATCTGTTTTGCTTGCTGTGTGCAAACCCCCTACCACCCTGCCTGGCACACAGTAAGTGTTCAGTGGAAAGTCACCAGCAAAACAGCTGACTAGATGTATCTGCCATGTTCCCCTCTATAACAAGGGCCAAAACCAAGAAAAATCAAGTATTATTCCATTGTAATAGTGTTTGAAGGGAGTAACAAACATTGCACAGAGCGCAGAGACCCTAGATATCTGTGTAAAAAGGGAGATGGAGGACGCAACATGTACTGTTATAGTTCTAACGTGAGAGCAAACCTAAGCTTCACACCTTAGTGAATGCAGATGTTGGAGATGTTTAGCAGTCCCTGTTCAAGACACAAGCATCTAAAACCCTTGCTCTCAGAGAAGCCAGAGCCCAGTTTGCAGCACTGTCAGGTAATCTTACACTGCAGCATTAACTCGGGCACAGCCACCACTCCAGCTTCTCCTGCAGGACACCAGCTTGAGCCCCACCCTTCCCCCCAGAATCCCATGATGTAGCCAATCAGCACCAATCAACTTCCTAACTTTCCACAAAGCACCCTGCCCTACCAAGGCCATAGGAAATAGATTAGAGGCCCTTTCCTCCCACCAGAAGCCCTAGGAGTAACTGGGCATTCCTATCCTCATCAATTCAGTGAGTTAAGTCCCCATGAAGAAACAGTGTGCAGCTGATTAACATTCACTAGTCTCCTACCTGAGCCTACTGTTATATCTTAGCCCCTTCATGGTCCTCAGACAATTGCGGAGAATGGGAAAGGCCCTGAATAAATGAAGCCTTGAGTGAATGTGTGTTGTTGACATGGGCATGGCTATGGCAAGGACCCTAGCTCAAACATGTACGAAAATGACAAAGTTTCACTTTCCTGGGATGAGGCTCAGAGGGATAGCAAAGCCTTTTTTTTTTTTTCTGTCCATGTACAAATACTGATTGCATGTACAGAAAGTGTCCACCATAGCTTTCTCCCCCTGAAGATACTGAAGAGTGCTCCCCTAATAGAGGCTTCAACTACCACGATCAACTAAACCTGCCCCACGGATCAGCTGTGTGCAAAAACCTGCCTCTCTGTTCAACCATATAAGTAAACACACTGAGCTTAGGAAGGGGAACTTCAGCTTCTCCATCACAGACCCCAGTCCACTCAACTGTAGCTTTTTCTGTGTGTCTGTGTTTCTGTATGTGTTTGTCATTTCTTCACTCCCTCACCACCCCAGTCAGCTCTGTCCCTGGAGCCATGCAAGACAGAGTAGATATGCAAGAGTGCCACATTCCTGCTACCAGGCTTGCTGTGTTCTGTCTGCTCAGAACTTCCAGAGACTGGGCATGGTGGCGCAAACCTTTAGTCCCAGCACTCAGGAGGCAGAGGCAGGTGGATCTACATGAGTTCCAGGCCAGCCTGGCCTACAAAGAGAGCTCCAGGATATCAAGGACTACACAGAGAAACCCTGTCTGGAAAAACAAACAAACAAAAAACCTCCAGAGGAGCCTGGACCACCCAGCCCTCAGACGCTGATATATGCCTTTTCATTACTAAGCACACAATAATAAACCTTTGTGATCCTTCAGCAGCCTTGTCCCTTGCGGCCCTCAGAAACTGGCTAGCCTGGTCCCTTCCAGTGATATGCCAGTCATGTCTTGCTTTCCTGGGTCCACCACATCAGCCATACCTGGTGGAAACAACAGAAACTAAAATGTGACCCTCACCCTCAGACACAGCATGCATTGCCCTCACAGCTACAGAGAGGCTAACTTTCTAAGGAGACCTACCAGAAAAAACTCACAAATACCTGTGGGCTAGACCACTGAAACACACACACACACACACACACACACACACACACACATGTCATCAGTGTTGATATTGTACATGAAGAAGCTTCACGGACACCACGATGTGGGAACTAAAGCCAGTGTAACTATTCTACTGACACACTGGAGCCCATCTCCAGAAAAAAGTCCCTTGCCAAAAACCAAAAAAAAAAAAAAAAAAAAAAAAAAAAAAAAAAAACTATCCCACAAAAGCTGCAGAAGCAAGTGATCGACCACAGACACAAGTATAAAAATAAAGACACAACTAACATAACAAAGAATCTCTTTCTAGCAAGTGTTACAAAAGAAATCAATGGATTGCCTTAAGAAAAAACTCAAAATAATGATTTTAAGGAAACTTGACAAGATGTGGAAGAATACAGATTTTATTAAAACAAACAAAAAATCCATCACTTGAATGAGAAACTCAAAAAAGAAATTCAGAGCAACATGAGAAGTATTGAGGCTACAAGTCAATCAAACAATCAATTTGCCAATCATTTAAAACAAGTGAGAGTTGGTTATAGATGTTGCTAAATAATTAGAGAAATTGCAATTCATAACAGTTAGAGTATATTTTCTATGTTCAAAACATTATGCTGAATTTTCTTTTTCTTAAATAAAAAGGCTTATAGATCATAAAAAGAACCAAACAGATACCACAGAGAACTCAATTAATGAAATAAAAATACCATTTTGAGTCTCAATAGCAGATTACATCATGCAGAAGGAAGAGTTCTGAGCTTGAAGACAAGCTTTTGAAATAACCAGACAAAAGAAAAAAAGGAAAAGGAAAAGGACAAAGAATAAAGTAGATAAGGCCAACAAGATGCTCTAAGTGAAGATTATTCACATTATAGGAGTTACAGAATGAAAAGAAACCTACCTACTTTGTGAGGGCAGGTGAGGTTGCTCAGTGGTTAGAGGTGCTTGCTTCCAAGTTGACAATATGAGTTCATCTCTGGAAGCCACAAGAAAGAGGAAGAAAATCACCTCCTATAAGCTGTCCTCTGACCTCCACACACACATTATGGCATGCATGTGTAACACACATGCAAATAAATAAATAGGTAGATCTATTTAGTTAAATAATAGCTTAAAGCCTTCCAAATATTGAGAAATATATGGGCATCCAAGTGCAATAAATTCAAAGGACTCTGTTTAAACTGATATGGTCCTATCAAAGATAAACAATATTCAAGCTCTCAAATGTCCAAGGCAAGAAATTCTAAAAACAAGAGAAATATGCCAAGTCACACGTGAGAAAGTCTCTAGTAAACAATAGAGTCTACAACAGAAATTTTTTATAAATGGATGAAAATTTCCCATTAAAAGAGTTAGTTAGGCTGAATAGATTTTAAAAGTGGAATTCAACTGTATGCTGTCCACAAATCCTCATAAGAGGGTGTGGAAGAACAGAAAGAAACCCATTAACTCGAAAAAAAGCAAAACAAAACAGGGATGAGGAAGGAAGACCTGCAGTCCATGTTGCTAAAATGGCACTCATGACCCTGCATAGCCTGACTCCTTTTGCTATTATTGACAGAAATTAGGGCAGAAAGAGTCAACAATCAGAAAAACATGATGTCAAGGAAAACCAGATCCATGTCATCTATTGTTCCATAGAAATAGAGCCCAGACTGAACTGAAGCAGTAGAAATAATAGAATCCCAAGCATCACTATGACCCTGCAAGAATAAAGGTTAACACAGAAAAAAATGCGTGTGTGTGTGTGTGTGTGTGTGTGTGTGTGTGTGTGTGTGTGTGTGTGTATTGATATGTTCAGAGAACGTCCCATGAGCTGAAGCTTAGACTTATCCAGTCAAAAGAAACTGGAGATGGAAGATGTGCTCAGTATCCATCTGGGATGCTCAACAGCTTTCAGGCAGATGATGAATGCCTCAGGAACAATGCAAGACATTCACTAGAAACTTTAGCATCATGAGGCATGGCCTGCCCATGAAACCTAGAGGGAGAAGGGCAGAAGTGGCTGGATGTTCTGCAGTCTGAATTAGAACCACTCACCATACACTTGGCATAGACAATTCAGAAGAAACTATGCAAGTGTTGGGTATGCTGTGGGAACTGAAGGACCTCCCAAGAGCAACTAGCAAAGCCACAGACTGGGGAAAGAGCCAGGGTATGGTGACCCCATGTCATATACTACTTCATACTGTACCCCATAAATGTATACAAGAAATAATGAAAAGGAAAATAAGAAGGCAAAATAAATGTTTTTGACTAGCACAAAGAGAGGAAAGTAGGTGCAGTTTGGGCCCTTTGCCACTCTCAGTCGACAAATCATTTCTCCGCCTCCCAAGGTAAAACATTCACTTTAATTGGCCAAGTGCACTTTGAGAGCAAGCTCTATCTGCCTTAACCTTTCTCCCTCCCACTGATGGGTGGGCAGTCCTTACAGGAATTAGGCAGGAGGTAAAAAGGATTTGTGAGAGTGAGGACAGACAGTCTGTGACTCAGGAGTGGCTGCACCATGAGTGTCTCTGCTCTGAGCCCCGTCAGATTCGCAGGCAGCATCTCTGGCTTCCTGCAGGTGGCCTCCGTGCTTGGCTTGCTCCTGCTGCTGCTGCAAGCAGTCCAGTTCTACCTGCGCAGACAATGGCTACTCAAGGCTTTCCAGCAGTTCCCAACCCCACCCTTTCACTGGTTCTTCGGGCACAAGGTATGACGGAAAGGGAAGGGTGGGTGGGACAGCAGGGAGGATGAGGGTCTCACAGACTGGCCATCAAGTTCACAGGACAAAGCCCCCTGTATAAGAGTCCAAATACTTCATGAGACACGCAGCTCAGGCTGAGACACATTCCAGCATTAGGATGGCTCAACTTGTCTGGCTGTTGCTCAGCTCTGTACTGATAGCCCTGCACTTGCAAGGCTGTGGTTGAGCCTACCTAGTCTCCTCTTCAGACTGAGCCCCTTCAGTAGCCTCTGCTGTTCTCCAATAGCTTCTGGGTAGTTCCTTGCTTAGTGACTCCTGGCTATTCTCTCCCAAGCTTAAAGATTGCCTGGGAATGAAGACATCAGTGAGATGAAACCTTGCCCCGTGGGGTTCCTGGTGTGGCAATGGCACACATCTCAGGAGCTGTCAAGCACAGGAAGAGTTCACACTGCTGGGATGAGTGGGTAGCTGGCCTAGAAAATTCCCCTGGAGGGGAGCAATTTTCAGGATGAATGAATTACAAGATGAAATCCTGAAGCCATGGCACATAAAGGAAAAAGCCTGTGTAGTGTCCCCACATGAGGGCACTGATGTTAGAATTTCCTTGGGGTCTGTTTATCTCTCCATTCTCCTTCCAAGCACCCTGCACTGTAAGCTACTTGGATTCAAGCATACCATCACTTCCCTGTACCACAGTGCTCAGCTCAAGAGCCAGGCACACGTGTCTGAGATCTCCTAGGAAGGAGATGTTGTAGCACCCTGTCTATTGGGAATGGGCAGTCCTGATTCTTTCCACTCTTGCCCCAGGAAACAAGGCACAGAGCCAAGTGGGAGGATACATGGGAAGGTATTCAACAAAGGACTGTGCAATGGATGCTCCTAAAAGGAGATGGGTATGAGGGTGCTTGTGTGCAGAACTGAGGATTCACCCAACAGCACTATCAAATCCAGCTCAGGAGCAGTTCCTGCTGTAGCAAAGCTCTGAGTGACAGCATACATAATCCACCAAATTGCTCCAAATTTCTGGCTGCCTCTGAAAAATCTAGAACTGTTCCTGTGCTTATCCTGCTCTTGTCTCCAATCCAAAAAACTAAACGAGTCCCACTGCTTTGTCTTTCCCTCAACAGCAGTTCCAAAGTGACCAGGAGCTATCGCAGATTATGAAGTGTGTGGAGAACTTTCCAAGTGGCTTCCCTCGCTGGTTTTGGGGGAGCAAAGCTTACTTTACTGTCTACGACCCTGACTACATGAAGGTGATTCTGGGGCGATCAGGTGAGAGAGACATAGCAGTGTGAAGAGATAAGTTCCTCTTTGTAGCTTGCCCTAGGCTGTCACATTCCAGAAGAGTGTAGCACTCCACCATTGCCCTACACACTCTACCTACCATTCCTCCCTGGCCAACAACACTCCATACTGAAATTTCCATCCCTTAGCAAAAAGTCTTCATCTTTTTTTGTTATTTAATTAAATTAAAATAATAAATCATGAAAATTGTTCCAGGTCTGAAAAACACACTTCTAATGCATATTGGTTTGAGGTTTGAAATCTGTTACCTGCCCAGAATCATAATTAAGCCATGATCCACTGTAACACACACACACACACACACACACACTCCTCATCAATTCATCATCCCTGCTCTGGGGGAGTTCAGCTGCTGGTACATGAATCCTGGCTTCCTAAGCCTGACTGTTTGGACATTTGCCAACAGACAGCCCTTAAAAGATGACAGAAGCCAGTGGCTTCAACCACACCTGCCTTGGAGCTGCCTTATTTATCCCATTCCTTGTTTCTGTTTCAGATCCAAAGGCTAATGGTGCCTACAGATTGCTGGCTCCTTGGATTGGTATGTATGTCTTAATTGGGAATGTGGTCTAGTCTCAATTAGGTTTTTCAAGTGCTGTGACTCTTTTTCACAGAGAACAAAATGTGACAGGCTACCACCATCTTGATCTAGCCCCAATCCCACCTGGAAGAAGTAGGTCTATTGTGACCCTTCACTTCTCCTAACAGTCTTATCTAAACATTGTGTATGTCCCTCGTTGGTCTACCATCAACTCTTTTGTAATTTTTATCTCACAGTGTAACATAAATCTTAAAAGGTCTTATTAATAAAATTTTTAAAATGGAGCCACTTATTGGAGTGAAAGCTGAAAGATCAGAGAAACAGAACAAGCCAGCCACATTCTTACCTCTACAAAATCCTCAGCCTCAAGAGAGTGAGTTCCTGTTTCCTTGTGCCTTATATACCTTTCTCTACCCAGACATCAATTCCCGGGATTAAAGGCATGTGTGCTTCCTAGTACTGGGATTAAAGTTGTATGCCACCACTGCCTGGCTCTGTTTCCAAGGTGACCTTGAACTCATAGAGATCCAGAAGATATCTGCCTCCCAAGTGATAGGATTATGGGTGTGTGCTACTACTGTCTGGCTTCTACGTCTAATCTAGTGACTGGCTCTGTCCTCTAATCCCCAGGAAAGTTTATTAGGGAACACAATATATCACTAGATTTCCCCTTTTTGTCTAAAATAATAAAAGGTTATAACTAATATAAGAAAAACTATATATAATAAGCACAATAAGTATATACAATATATGCAGTCAAGAATTACATTAACAATGCCCAGTCCATTAATATTTGACAGAATCAGAGAAAATACTCCACTATCTATCTTATTTTGATGAGTCCAAAATGTTGTACCTATTTCACTTTCTATCCTAACTTGTATTACCAGCCAAAAATATCTTTTGATGTCTTTCAATCTTATAGTGCTTTACATCTCTTCAGTGAGTTTCTGTTCTGAATTTGTTAATAATGAAAACTATAACTATTTAATCTTAAACTCCCTCAGAGACCTGAGAAGGAAATAATATTAACTGAGTAAGGAGGAAGTGCAAACAAGCAACTTCCAAAAAATATGAGAAATGACAGAAATAACTGGTTGCCTGGACAGCCACCCAAGGTTTCTCTGCAACGTTAGGGCATCCATCTTCGGCCCACAGGCCTAGCATATTGACAGACTCATCTGTGAAGCAGGATTTTTTAAAGAGCTTTCCTACTTTGTCTTGGCAAGAATCGGCAGTCCTTTCTTTTGTATCCTTCTTATCCGTCTTGGACAGCATACTGTCAGCAGTCAAGGCAAGGGCACTTTCTTGCCCAGTGGCTGCAGTGAAAGTAAACTCCCTAAGAGTTTTTTCAATGCCCATCATCTTCTCTGAAGTAGATTGGTGCTGCCATGAGCAGACATGTCTCATTGTCATTAAAAAAAGAAAGAAAAGAAAAATCTGTTATTAAAATATCTTAAATGCCATATTCTGTAGGTCTCTGAAGTGTTTGAAGATGACCTATCTAAAATAAATCTGTTTGACCTTGAAAACATACCTAATACAACTACAAGTTCGATTGTAATAACTAACTACTAACCTGCATTTCTTTATTATCCTAAATTGTTGGTAATAACTTTCAAGGACTAGAAAATTGCATTACATTGTTAAATGAGCTGTATAGTTACAATACCTTGAACAAGAATAGAAATATATTCTTGTATTTTCTAACAAAATCAATCTCAAATTTGTATCAATATACATAATTTGTATACAATATACAAAAATCCAATCCAATGTAAAATATTTAAAACTAGTAGTTGCTTTCTAAAAGTAGATTCAATAATCTCCCTTTTTATCTTATATCCATATTCTCCCTTTTTCAAAGTAGATTCAATAATCTACCTTTTTATCTTATCATATCCATGTTCTCTTTTTTTCTTTTCAGATTAGATTTAATAATTTTCCCTTTATTCATCATTTCTATAAGTTTTTTAGAGTAGATTCAATAATCTACCTTTTATCTTATTATATCTATATCCTCTTTTTTCTTTTTCTTTTTTTCAAACAAAAACTCTGAATCTAATCTCCTTGTTTAGCTTTTTTTCCTGACCATTATCAATTAACAACTTGTAACCAACCATCATAAACAATGACAATTATCCATAACCCATTGAATGACCAAAAAACCACCCACCCCACCTCTTGGGAATGTGGGCTTCATGTTCTTAAATTACTTCCTGCTGTCTGGGGGCAACAGCATCTTTAAGGGATCCTGAAAAGAAAATTTTTCAGTTAATTGTCAAGTCCTGGGAGAGGTAGCTGTATCATTTGTTGTCCAGTCTCCACATAATGCAAAAGTGTAGGGCTTGTCTCAAGTCCTTGAATGAGTAGTCTGTGAGGCTGGATCATCTCAGCTAGTCAATCAAATTGTCCTGAGCAGTTTGTAGTCCAAAGCTGATCTGTGGGTGGTTTTTGTCAGCTTGGTGACATTATCATAGTCCTAATGAAATCATTGTTGTGGGGTCCCATCTTTTTTTGTGATATCTTGTGTACCCTTATATACTTTCCTGGAATTGGAAGACAGAACCAGCCACTAGATTAAACATAGAGGCCAGATGCTGGTGTCACACACCCTTAATTCTGTCTTTTGGGAGGCAGAGATCCCTCCAGATTGCTGTGAGTTCAAGGCCACCCTGGAAACAAAGCCAGGCAGTGGTGGCACATACCTTTAATCCTAGTACTGGAAAGCACACATACCTTTAATCTCAGGAAGTGATGTCTGGGTAGAGAAAGGTATATAAGGCATGAGGAAACAGGAACTCACTCTCTTGAGGCTGAGAATTTCGTAGAGGTAAAAATGTGGCTGGTTTGTTCTGTTTCTCTGATCTTTCAGCTTTCACCCCAATATCTGGTTCTGGGTTTTTATTAATATGATCATTTAGCAATTCATGTTACATCACAGATGTCATAATCACAGATTGTATGCCAGTCTCACAAGCTAGGGAATTCAAGCTTTAAACAGTACCATTCTTCAGAGTTCTCATTCTCAGTTCCATTACACACCCCTCCCCAAGTTTATCTAATTATCTCTCTGATGACATCTCACACATACACACCCATCTCTGTCCCAGGCTATGGTTTGCTCTTGCTAAATGGACAGCCATGGTTCCAGCACCGGCGGATGCTAACCCCAGCCTTCCACTATGACATTCTGAAGCCCTATGTGAAGACCATGGCTGATTCTGTCCGGTTGATGCTGGTGAGTTCATTTGACTTTCTACTCTGCTCCCTTCAGATCTGCTGTCCTTTCTACAACAGCTGCTGTTTCTGCAATTGCTGCTACTACTACAACTTTAGCAGCAGCAGCAGCAGCAGCAGCAGCAGCATCTTCCTTCTCATCTTGCTCCTCATACTCCCCTCTCTCTCCTTTCTCTCTCTCAAGCTCTGTCTTCACCTACTCAGAGTATACAACAACAAACTCCACGTGTGTATTCTACTATGAATATAGGTTCTTCAAAAATAGCTGGACCAGGATATGGCCATACTTTCTCATTGCCCAAGGCAAAGAAAATCATGGTAGATAGAGACCTCAATTCCCTCTTCAAATCCTCAACTTCAGAGGGACTTTCCAGGATGATACTGACTCAGGGTTTCCCTTGGTCTCAGTGCTTCTGCATGGACTTGAGTGACACAGCAGGGTAATGGATGCCAGATCCACATTGCCATAACCAAAGCTGCCATACCACAAACTTTCAACAGGACTCTAGACTCTGACTCAATTGTTCTCGACAAGCTTTGATAAACACATAGTAATTGAAGTCACTGTTGACCCCATTAGAAATGCCCATAGTGGCTACATGGGCTTTCTTATGCTTGATACATGGAAGTCCTACCATTATCTCAGGTTGGGCTCAGCTCTTCAAACACTGATGCATCCTCTTCTTTACTGCCCTACAAATAGCATTGCTTGTCAAATAAAACATGGTAACTAGTTGCAAATATTTGAAATTGTGCCCTATCTTATGAGTTTGTAAAGGACTTAGAACATGGTATATGAAAATATAGGGAAATAACAAAGTCTATTGAGCACAAGTCTTCTGTGGAAATTAGGTCACTGTTTCCTCCCACTGCAGGACAAATGGGAACAACTGGCTGGTCAGAACTTCTCTATAGAGATCTTTCAACCCATCTCCTTGATGACCCTAGACACCGTCATGAAGTGTGCCTTCAGTCACAAGGGTAGTGTCCAGGTGGATGGGTGAGTGACAACCCTTGAACTTCAGGGTCTTTGGTCTTACCAACTGGTGTAGCCTCATCTGACATGCAGGTGGGGCAGCTTGGATACTTACCTCCACAAAAAAAAAAAAAAATCAAGAGTCTGACTCCAGCCTGTAGCTGAAGCTTTTCTGGTCCTGCCAGGCTCACGGTCAAGACAAATCTCTCTCACCTGCCAGTCCCACAGCCGCTCGGACCCAAGCAAACACATAGAGACTTATATTACTTATAAACTGTATGGCTGTGGCAGGCTTCTTGCTATCTAGTTCTTATATCTCAAATTAACTCATTTCTGTAAATCTATATCTTTCCATGTGGCTATTGGCTTACTGATACCTTACATCTTGCTTCTCATGGCAGCAGTGGCTGGCAGCATCTCCTGACTCAGCCTTCCACCTCCCAGAATTCTCTTCTCTCCTTATCCCACCTACACTATACTTCCTGCCTGGCTATTGGCCAATCAGCATTTTATTTATCAATCAATAAGAGCAATACATTCACAGTATCCCCAGCACCAGCCCCAGGTCAATTCCTGACACAATCCAACCCTGTCCCAACCACAGAGCACTGATCCCTAGCTGAGGTGGATGCCTAGATATTCATTCCCCATTCTGCAGTCTTGAAAATTATAAGGGTTAAAAGACAGAATTAATGTGTACCTCAATGCTGTCTGTCTTATCATACAGAAAATCTCTTACCAGAGTCCATTCTATCTACAGGTCAGATCTCTCCACGGTCTAATCTGTTCTGTATCTTCTTCCTCAGAAATTACAAGACCTACATCCAGGCCATTGGGGACCTCAACAACCTGTTTCATTCCCGTGTGCGGAACCTCTTTCATCAGAATGACACTATCTACAATCTGTCCTCCAATGGCCGCTTGGCCAACCGTGCCTGTCAACTTGCTCATGATCACACAGGTTCTGTCTGTACTTCCTGTCTCTCCTCCTTTCCTAGGATTAGCTCAAAGGGGCTGGCTGTTGATGACCTCTGAGGCAGATCTAGGCCCTGCAGTGCCCCAATAGCACTAGGGTCTCACACACACGTGGATGCTTTCACACTGCAAATGTTTGAGTTGGGATCTCAGAATGCCTCGTGCTGTGTGGATGTCATCACATTGGCAAAGTTTAGTGAGATCTGACCCATCATCTCAAGCAGAACTTCCTTGGCCCGTGGTCCTGAGAGGGGGTCTAACCTACATCAGATGGCACTGGTCTTCTAATGTTGCCCACTCCTTACTTCCTCATCTACATATAGCACTTAGCTTTAGGCAAGGAGACACATGGAACTATGTGGGGGTTACTGCAGCTCTCGGGCCTATGTGATAACTGATGTTCTGGAACAGATGGAGTGATCAAGATGAGAAAGGATCAGCTGCAGGATGAGGGAGAGCTGGAGAAGGTCAAAAAGAAGAGACGTTTGGATTTTCTGGACATTCTCTTGTTTGCCAGGGTGAGTGTGTGTCACAGAGGCCTGTGCATCACAGAGAGTCTGCCTGGGAGCACACAGCAAGGAACAAGCACAGCTCTGATGACACCTGTTGCCTCCCCCAGATGGAGAATGGGGATAGCTTGTCTGACAAGGACCTACGTGCAGAGGTGGACACATTCATGTTTGAGGGCCATGACACCACAGCCAGTGGAGTCTCATGGATCTTCTATGCTCTGGCCACACACCCTGAACACCAGCAGAGATGCAGGGAGGAAGTTCAGAGCCTCCTAGGGGATGGATCGTCCATTACCTGGTAAGAGTTCAAAAGGTGGAAGAACTCTTATTCTTTGGGCAGGGAGCAGACCCTGGTCTCCAGTCTACCTGCTCTTCACAATGGACCTTGTTTTAGGGATGACCTGGACAAAATGCCCTATACCACCATGTGCATCAAGGAGGCCCTGAGGCTCTACCCACCTGTCCCAGGCATTGTTAGAGAGCTCAGCAAACCTATCACCTTCCCTGATGGCCGCTCTTTACCCCAAGGTATGAGTTTCCCAGGCCCATTCACCTAAACTCTTTCCAGAGGTAAGGAAGGATCAAAAGTCTGTGTGCTTTAACTCATAAAGTGCATCTTCTAATGTGGGTCATAAGCTTAAATGACCTCCTATAAAGTTAAATGATCTCCTATTCTGCTGCTTTGCATGAATAATTGTAAGCATCTCTTGTTCATCAGCTAACACTCCTTCTTTTGAATCCATGTCCTTATCATGAGGCATCAATTCCAGTTTGGGAACACTGACATTCTTTGATTCTTATATTCCAGACGAAATTCCAGATGCCAACACCGTGTAATTCATAGCCACTCTTATCTTCACGTGTCCTTACTGTCACATGTGTGTGTTTTCATGGTGAGGCTGGGAACACAGGTGTATGTTTGCACATACAAGTGGAAGCCAAAGTTCAACATTAGTTTCATTCAGCAGGTACTGTTTGCCTTGATACTTTTCGTTCAGGAGGTCCCTCACTGACCTGTAACTCACCTATTAGGCTAGGCCCGATGGTCAGTGGGTACCTGCCCCTGCCTCACCAGCAATGTGATGACAAATCTGTGCCACTACACACAGCTTTTTATACAGGCTCTGCAAATGAAACATAGGTCCCCATGCTTGCACAACAAACACCTTCCTACCAGTTTATCTGTCTCTCCATACCGTTGTCACATCTTTTTATCATCCTCTACATTTGATATTAATTTGTGGAATTTTTATTTATAAAGAACTGCTATTTATATATAAATCAGTAACTGCAATGTGACTCCAGACTCTTGCCAAGGCTATTGGTTATTCTCCATAACTTGATGGTAAGGGGAAATGACCTGGTACCCATTTAGTAGCCCTAATTTTTAACCCAAATATTAAATAGGGTTTTTCTTCAAGCTTGTTTCACTGATAGTTTTACATTTATACACGTACAAAACACACACACATACATACACATACAACATGACTCAATCCTTGGAAAATTCTTCACAAAGAAACCTTTGAATCTGGTACTATGACTTCAGCTCTCAAATACTATTTGCTGGCATGCATAGGATAGATAAAGAATCATACAGGGGCTAGGGAGATGTGTTTCTTTCTTGAGTCAGAGCAAATGAAGGAGATCAATGGATCCTATGTCATGGGTCATACATGGTCCAGTCTCTGAGAAGCACTCAGGTTAATGGCAGAGGTGAACTGAAGAGCAGATACTGGACCCCTGCAACATCAGGAAATCACCCTTTGTCTCACACCTCATTCTGTCAAAATCCTAGTTCTACCACATACTACTTTGGAGATAATATTTAATTCCTCTCTGAAACTTTATTAACTGACCTGAAAAACCAGACTAAAACAACTGGGAGATCATTGTGGGGACTGAATTATTACACATCTTTACTGAAAATCTTCATCAAATTTAAGTTCTAATTTGATTTATTCCCAGAACTCAGGTTCATGTCTTTCTTGCTTCTCTTTCTTTAACTCCATTTTTATACTCCTCATTTGTGCCTCAAGCTCATTTCCAAGTCACCCACATCTCCCAAAGCGATGATCTGTAGTATCCAGACCTTTCGTGCATGCAAGTCCCCCGCTGTCTCAGGAACCGAGGATTCACAACCTGGGTATAACCCATCTTCTCTCCTATTCCCGTCTGCTCCACAGGTGTCTCAGTCACACTCTCCATTTATGCACTCCACCACAACCCGAAGGTGTGGCCAAACCCAGAGGTAGGAGGCCCCAGAGGAGGGCATGGGAAGCTCCTCTGTTCCCACCTCTAGGCATTGCCTCCTGGTGGGTTGAAAGCAGGAGTTTAACCTCTACCTGTCCTGACTGAGGTGCTCTCTCCCTGCAGGTGTTTGACCCTTCCAGGTTTGCACCGGATTCTCCCCGACACAGCCACTCATTCCTGCCCTTCTCAGGAGGAGCAAGGTGAGACAGCCTGTGTATATTGGTGGGATATACTGTGGGGGGTATTTGTAGCATACCTTGATGTTTTTTACCTCCTGCCTACATGACATCTCCAGGTATGTCCTTATTGGTGGACTGGATGGAAAAACTCCTTGGGGATGTGTCTATGAACAACGGGAGGGTAGCATTTCAGAAGACACTATGAAGACATTAACCCATTGCCCTTCCCATTGGCCAGACAAATTTTTATGTCAGTGGATACCATACACTTGCATGTGTTCTGATTTTTCCCTCACTTTAGGGGCAGTACTTTAAGTTGATTTATTTTTCATGTGAATTTAACTTTATGTGTCTAGATTTTCAAGTTTCAGAATTCTTAAAGGTCCTGCCTTTTTCCACACCTCAGCCAGGCCCACCACCCTTGCTGGTCCAGAATCACTGTGGCAAATGATTAGTTTGCTTGAGTGTCTGCATGGACAACGGTCTAGTTAGAATCTTGAGGAGTTACAGTGGGCCTTTTAAGGAAAGGTTTACCCCAAGTGCATCGACTCCACCCGTGCAGTCACTCCCAGCACAACCCAGGAATCAGTGTTGATGTTCACAGCCCTCTCCTGGTTGCCCAATGGCCAAACCTTGACAGAGAATATATATTCCTTGAAGTTACACTTAGAGCCTGAGTGGTCTTTCTTCAGTCAAAAAGCATTGAAGAGGAGTAGAATAACCTGTTTTTGAGTAAACCCTCTGTTTTATAAATAACACATAGCATTTTTTAAGATTCCTGGTGAGTGAAATGTAAAACACTCTTGAAATAGCTAGTGAACCGGACAAAGGCTTTCCAATGGCTTCTAGGAAAATCCTCGAAGGCTCCCATGGGATCTGACTCACTGTGGGCTTTACAAGGCAGTGCAGAAGCAGGCTTTTCTGAGTCTATAATTCGTGGATTTCTCAAGTGGCGAATAAGCTTTCACAGAGCAGACTTTAAGCCAGTTGTTCTTCCAGACACGGGCTATCTAGCTTTTGATGTACCTCAGGATTGAACGTTCCCACCTCTGCTCACTGCAAACCATGTCACTGACACTAGAAGACAGGAGAGTATTGGGTAACTCAGCTTAAGTTGGAATGAACCATGCTGCTACTGGTGTTGTCTGAGACAGTCTCAGGCTTGTCTGGAGCTCAGGATCCCTCTGCCTCAACTTCCTAGTTCTGAAATTCAGGTACAGGCCGCCACACCTTGCTTTGTTCAGAAGTATTTTAATTTTCATTGTATTTCATTCCATTTTTTCATTCTTTAAATTCAAATGAATTACATTTTAGAGTCAAATAAAAATAATTATTTTAAATGTAAAATAACTTACGAAGGCACTCTTGTGTGTCAGGTGCTATGGTAGATAAAAACATGAGAATGAATGATATGATCCTATCCCTGTCTCCAGTTCAAAATTGTATAATATGTCTGTGGTCCAAAAATATATTCTTCCTCCATTCTTCACTCATTCATTGAGCAGTTTGCAAAATGTTCCATGTTCATGACATCATCCCATGCCCTGACTATAGCATGCCCTTGAACATAGCACTGGTGATGCCTTGGGTGCCCAGGAGCAACAGGGAAGTCAGCAAAGTAAGGAAGCCAGCTGCACATTGGCCTGAGCTTTGGGAATATGCAGCCTATTAAAGTGCTGTTAATCATCTTAACAACTTGATCCGAAGCAGGAAGTGAGATGGGTGGGAAAGAGGTGAGGGCACCAGCCAGTAGAGGGTATGGCTGTAGTTAGGCATCTGAATACAGCCCTACCTGATGGATGCACAGAGGGTCATCATGGTACGGGGGTCAGGAAGATCAGAGAAGCACAGGAAAGAAGACTGGAGGAGAAACAAGGGACATTTCTGAAGTAGAGTTAGGAGGCTAAAGATGCTGAAGGATGAAGGAGGTAGAGGTACCCTAAGTAGGATGCAGATGGGATAGCCAATTGAGGAGCCCCAACTCAGTGCCCCTGTAGGATCTTCCTACTGAAATCTCACTTCTCTCTTTGAAACCCATGCCCAAGATCTCCCTGGATGGAGTAAACTATGCAATGCTTAACTTATTAAATAATTTACAAGTTTGAGCTCTAATCCTAAGAATACTGGCCTAATAGGTTTTGTAAATCTAAAATAACTAGGGTCAAAGTAGCCTTGAAAAATGTAGAGGCTGTATCAAAATCAGGAGAGCCAAGGCCCGAGGAAGAAGTGGGTGTGGCCTGTAATGACGAAGGTTAGACTGGACCTGTGAAGGCAGGGCTTGAATGATATTCTGGGGTCAGAGGTCATTGAGTTTTATTGTCCCTTTCTGACCCAGGAACTGCATTGGCAAACAATTTGCCATGAATGAGCTGAAAGTGGTTGTGGCCCTGACCCTGCTCCGCTTTGAGCTGCTGCCAGATCCCACCAGGGTCCCCATCCTCTTACCACGACTTGTGTTGAAATCCAAGAATGGGATCTACCTGTATCTCAAGAAGATCCACTAATTCTGGTAGGGACAAGGACAGACTCTATGAGCACGCTGCCTGACATCCTGTCTTCAGGCCATCTGTTCCTGTCACCATCTTACTTTCTATCTGCTCATCTTTCTTCACCATTTTTTGCTCCTGTGCTTCCTGCCCTCCTGTCTGTCCATCCCTCTCTCTCTCCTTCCTCTAGATTCCCTAGTTTCTGTCTGTTTCCTACTACCTACATCTGGTCCCTAATCTCCTCTGTCCTCTACCTTCTCTCCTTGCTTCTTATGTTTCTGTCATCTTATTTTTCCCTACATGACTTCTTCATTACATCAATAATCAACTGTCACAACCCTTGGTTGTCTAAAGTGACAGAAAGTTATTATCTTACAGTTCTGGATCTCAGAAGTCTGAAATGGGTGTCACTGGCAGAAAAACAAGTTGTTGGGGTGGCGAACCTGAAGAGTCCTCTGGAGAGTCCTTCTCCCCCCATTCAGTATAAGTGATCATTCCTTGGTGCTGGACTGTCACCCCTGCTTTAAAGCCAGCATCCTCCAAACCCCTCTCTTCTAACTTCCTTTCCTTCTGCAAAGACTCTTGTGACATCATCAACCTCACTAAAAAAAAAATCCAAGATAATTTTCCAGCTCAGTATGTCTTACTCAATCCAACATACTAAGCCTTTTTGAATTATGAGGAAATAAACATGCATGGGCTCCAAGACGCAGGCTTGATCATCATTGTGAAGCCATTGTGAAACCTGGTATCCCCTTTACAGGACTGTCACCTGGTCTGTTTGTCTACTTCTCTCCTGCACAGTATCTCTCTACCTGACTGTCCTTCACACAAGTTTCTCTGTCCTCCCTCCTTTCAGCAATAAAGTTCCCAGTGCCACACATGGTGTTTGTCATGTTCCCACGTTGCTTCAAATTGCTCCTGGACCAGGATTCATGATGCCATGGACAGACTTTCCTGGTATGCCATGTTCTGCTTCTTAGAACGGGCTTCTCTTGAAGCCACTGTCTGCAACCAGGACCTCCTTCCTAGTTTCCGAACCTACCAATTTGCTGAGCTAAAGCAGGCTGGTTCTGAGGAAGGGCAGGAGAGGATAGACTGGATACCCAGTGCCTGACCAAGGGGAGAGCTGGGCAGGAACATGAGCCCAAATCATCATGCACAGAATGTTCAAGTAATATAGAAAGTCTCATGCTGGCCATGCTAAGAGAACACAGGAAAAGTAAGAGCACAGTACTCTGGGTGCTCAGCCAAGTACTCTAACCACAAGATTCCAAATGGGATAAAATGTGTAACAGAAAGTGATTCTACTGCCCAGAAGCAATGAGCAAGACAGGCTCAATTCACTGTCCCATGCATTCCCCCTCCTTGACACACACAAAGTGACACTCATGTAAACACTTTATACACACCCATAACACATTCCACCCACACCTGTGCATATGCATGTGCGTGCCCAAGACCAATGGAGCCTTAGGCTGTGTTTGAAAAGTCATAAAGATGAAGCTGTGGTCATCTGTGATGGCCACCAGTCCCAGAATCCACTTGCCCTCACTCAGGAGGTCCCAGTACACACACACACACACACACACACACACACACACACACACACACACACACACCAGTCAGAGTTCTTGACTTTATTCCCACTGATACATATACTCAGAAAGAACTGATGTTAATGATAGAGTTTTGAACAAAAGACATCAGAGTCAGAAAGCAGCTCAACTTCCTCCTAGATTAGAGTCTCTCAATATTCTTCCCTTAACATTAAAATGCAGTCACAGTTTCCTCCAATTAGAGAAGGGGTGCCTCCATCCTGTCCATACCTCATGATGGCCAAGGCTCTGAAGATCTAAAATGATATTGTTTAGATATTGTTCAGGTGCCGCCTAGAGGCACATGGTGGTTATGACCACAGAATCAGCACTGAGTGATAACTGTTGAAACCTTACTACATTTGTTCAGAGAGCAATTTATCTGGTGTTAGGACAAAAGGGCAAGTTAGTTGCATTAGGGCTCATAGCCAACAGGCACACTATAATGGGACCTTTGCATCCCAGCTTCAAGTTTACAAGATCTGGGTCCTGATGTGGCTTTGTAGGAGTTAGCAAGTGTCCTAGGGCAGATTTGCCAAGATGTAGCCTTCTTCCAAGTGGAAAATAATCAGTAGTAAAAAGTATATGGCACATAACCCAGGACACTCTAGGGCAGTGGTACTCAACCTTCCTAATGCTGCAACCCTTTAATTCAGTTCCTCGTGTTGTGGTGACTCCAACTATAAAATTATTTTCATTGCTTCTTCACAACTGTAATTTTGCTACTGTTATGAATTGCCATGCAAGTATCTGTGTTTTCCAAGGGTCTTAGGAGTACAATATGAAAGGTTTATTAAACCCTATCCCACCCCCTGGGTTGAGTACTGCTGCCCTAGAAACTTCACCAAGTCCCAGGGCTAGAATTCCTATTGCCTCTGATCCTAGTTTCTAGTGCCCTTCCTTCCCCATGGGGCTAATTCCTAGATTTGAACTTCCTAGTGACTTTAGGCCTTTAACCCCAGAGATACAGGTACTCATGGCCATCAAGCAACTGCTGCAAGGACTGCCAGGAAAATATCTCTAAGTCATCATGTGGGCCCCACCCCGAACTCCACCCCAAAAGTCCTTTTTGCACAGTCATTCTCTTGCACAATCTTGCACAGAATTCCTCTTTAGTGTACACCTTCCCTAGGAATACTGTGAATGCCCAGAGCACTGTATGACTATGAGACACCACTGTTGCAGATGACAAGAATGCCACAGGGCCATATCCCAAGAAAGAAATCACATGAGTAAAGACACCTTTCACATTCTTTCACTTTAGTGATGGGAGTGTGCTTTAGGAATTATTCTTTATTTTGTAGAGATTTAGTTTAAACTGTTTTTTGTTATGTCTGTTATATTCCAAATACACAGAGGCAGTTAAAGAAATACAAGTCAATGAAGAGTCACCTTCTATCCAAACCATCCCTCCTTCACATCCATCTTCCACAAATGTCAAGGCAACATTTCCATGGTCTTCACCAAGATTTTTCAAGGGCTGGAATGTATTTTTCTGGTTGTGGTTTGTTTGTTTTTGAAAGACATTTAGTTAAGAGAAAGTTTCTCAAGACACCCAGATGTTCAACAAATGTTTGCAAAATGAAGGAATGAGCTGTAGAGTCCAGTCATCAAGTCATTAGACACATGTGTTTACAAGGGACTGCCTTCACGAGACTGTCAATGCCAATGCTTTCACATCTATAAGCCCGCCCCCCCCCCCAAAAGCAGGGATCCATGATGACTCTACATTCAAGCTAGGAGGACAACATCCCTGAAAAAGCCACAGCCTGTGCTGTCTAAGCTGTGGTCTCTGAAGACCTATTTCCCAGAGCCCAGTGGCTTCAGGTGGAGGTGGATGCCATTTTTAGAGCGCAGGACCAGCTGGGGAAGCTTGATGGGCAGCTTTGAGGGATCCAGCGAGAATTCAAAGCGCAGCAAACAAAGGGCTGTGACCACCTTCATCTCATTCATGGCAAACTGCTGCCCAATGCAGTTCCTGCAGCGAGCAGCACAAAGAAACATCAAGCTGTTGGCTATCCAGTGTTCTTAGAGACCCACAAAAAGCCAGTAACAGTTTTTGAATGCATAATGAATGATTGATTTGTTGACCTGGGCTTAAAAGGCAAAACTCCGGGAGCATGGTAATGGGTCCCACAGGGTATTGTCCCATTGGGAGTTCTGGCTTGCAGTCTCTCACAGAAGGAAACACGTACCCCACCCATTTACCAGAAACAGGAAAAAAAATAGCAAAAAGCCCCCATTATCACAGAGAACTCCATATTGATGCCTCCCCAATGATGACCTCCACTTTTCACCCCCAGTCTTGAGGGCCTGAGAATGTTGTCCCTCTCCCTACCTGGGCCCCGCAGAAAAGGGCATGAAGGCAAAGGGGTGGCGTCCTGTCACGTTCTCAGGAGAAAAGCGCAAGGGGTCAAAGACCTAAGGAGAGAGGGCTTGCTTAAACACTCCCCAGATGCTGCCAGAGGTGACCCCACAGCCCACACCCTGTCTACCCTCCAAACCCAGAGATGCAGTACCTCTGGATCAGGCCACACAGCACTGTTCCTGTGGAGGGCATAGATGTGCATAGAGATGAGACTGCCTGGAAGCAGAGAAGAGGCCTGATGACGAAGTGTTGTGAGGCCGTCAGGTCCACCTCCACATTAGGACTGAATCCCCTGAGGTCCCCCTATCTAGGACACTGGCCTCTGTCTGTGCACTGCCAGTGACACTGAGCTCTAAGCATTTTTAATTGTCATAATCAACAGCTCCAGGAGCCAGGTACTGAGAATAGTGCCTAACCTCTACATCTGTGGAATGAAAACCAAGAATGGTGAGCCCACCCTACCACAAAGTGGAATAAATGGGAGCTGCTTGTTACAGCTTTTTAACTTTCAATTAACTAACTCTTAGGAAGTTATTATGCTATTAACAATAAGAGATACCCTTCATTTGATGCTTACTACATGTCAGGCTCAGGTCTGAACATTTTTATGAAGCCTCAACACAGAGTTGAACATGCTATACACGCATTGCATCATAGTCTATGTGAATCATCTCCTGGAGTTGTCCAGGGTGCAATCAGATAGGCACAGTGTGAATGAAAACTCTGAAGATGGTTGTCATGAAAAATGTATTGTCCCCCCCATTTTCATTTTTTGTTTTATTTTACACATATCATTACAATCTGCTTGTTAAATAGCACCATAGTAGAATCATTTGATACAGTTTTTTTTTTCTTTTTTGTTTTTTCAAGACAGGGTTTCTCTGTGTAGTTTTGGTGCCTGTCCTGGATCTCCTTCTGTTAACCAGGCTGGCCTCTAAGTGACAGAGATCCACCTGGCTCTGCCTCCCAAGTGCTAGGATTAAAGGCATGCATCACTGCCACCTAGCTTGATACAGTTTTAACAGAAGAAAAAAAATTCAGATTACAAGAACCCCTCCCCTGTGAACAATGCAGCAACAGTACCCAGTGATTGGCCATGCCTGGGTCCTACTGCACTAACAGTTAAAAAGAAAAGTCAACTTTCACAATCACTGCCTCAAAGGAATAACTCATGTTGGATTCTTTTGGAAGACAAAAAATAGTTCTTGCTACTTCAATCTGCAAAAAGATGAATCCACATAATCACCCTAAAACCCAGGGGGGAAATGAAGCTTATATTCTCATACCCATATTTATATCCTCAGCCCTGTTTTGGAGACGAGAAAGTGGAGATTTGGGGGCAAAGGCAAGTTTACTTTATGAGGCCAGTGCTCGGGCCCAGGGCTCAGCACACGAAGCCTGAACTCTCTCTGCCTGATGTAAAGATCGTCCAATGGCACAGGTAATATCAGAGAGGACTTTCATTTCACCCTCACCATTTTTTCCCAACGCACCTGCAGGCAGAGAGCGGCCATCCACAAAGGTGACTGGCTTGCTGAGCTGGCGGTACACCTGGGGCACCGGTGGGTAGAGGCGGAAGCACTCCTTGATACACATAGTCAGGTAGGTCATCTTGGCCAGATCGTCCCTGCCAGCAACACGGGACACTTGGGAACTGGGAACAGGGATCCCAGGAGAGGGTAGGCCCCATTCCCAACTTCACCATGATATCATTTTCACCTTCTGTCACCACCACACTTCCAACAGAAGAGGAGTCGAGAGGGTTTCAAGTGCCTAAGCATTAATGTCATACTGGGTGGCCAGAGAAACCTAGTGCTCTGGGAGGAGAAGGCACAGGATCCAAGAGACATGCGTGTACCCAACCCTCAAAGACAAGGCCACTTTTGTGCTATTCAGTGCCTACAGAAGTCCCACA